CTCGGCAGGAACGAAATGAAAATGTTCAATATAGGAATATGTAAAATTAATTTTAACGAACAGGTAGTTTCAGTTCAAGAAAGTTTTTCTGACAAAATGAGTTTTTTGCTAAACTCCTATAAAGAAATTTTTGATAACAATTTGGGAACTTTCAATAAATTTAAAGTATCTTTAAAATTGAAACCGACCGCTAGTCCAAAATTTTTTAAGGCTAGACCGGTCCCTTTCGCAATTAAACCAAAAATTGAAGCGGAATTAAATAGGTTGGTACAAAATGGAGTTTTAATTCCGGTGGAGTTTTCGGAATGGGCAACACCTGTTGTTCCAATATTAAAGCCAAATGGAGGCATTAGACTATGTGGCGATTTTAAAGTCACCCTTAATCCACAACTAGAAAATCAACATTTTCCTCTACCTAGAATTGAATATATTTTCAGCCAAATACAGGGTGGACAAAAATTTTCGAAAATTGACTTATCAGAAGCGTATCAACAGATTGTTTTAACGCCTGAATCACAAAAGTTAGTTACTATTACAACCCATAAAGGTTTATTTTCTTATACTCGCTTACCATATGGAATTACATGTGCTCCTGCTATTTTCCAAAATATAATGGAACAAATTTTAATCACTGGCAAAAATGACCAAAAGCATTTAGAGCGTTTATCATCTGTATTCAGAATTTTACAAAATTCCGGTGTTAAAGTAAAAAAGGATACTGTTTTTATATGTAAAGATAAAGCAAACCAATATATGACAATATAGATTACGTTTTATGTTTAATTTTTCTTTTTCAGGACTAATATAAGCTTTTCATTTTGTATTATGTACTCCTGTTATTCGGTCTCATGACCTGTTGGATGTATTTTCTCAATAAATAAATAAATATCAGAAATACGCGACGAACTGTGAATGCTCATCGTTTTGAGGTTCAACTCAGTACACCTCGAACTTCACTGTTTAAGAACTCTTTCATAAGAAAAACTGATTTTATGTGGAATACAGTTCCTGATAATGTTTTTTTCAATTAATTTAATCTCCAGCGATTCAAATCCAATGTGAATCGCTATTTTCGCACAGACACCGCTCTGAGAGAGCTTTAAGGATTTTCCTGTACTGTTTGTGTTTCGTCCTTCGAAAAATATCTAACAGATGAGAGCATGCACAAATTAATAAGCGGAGAGTTGAATTGAAGAGCCGTACACAGTTTTCAGTGAAGCTATTTCCGCCAGTGCGTGCATTAACTCGATTTTCGAAATGTAGAACCAACTCAGCCCCTGCAGAGTCTATTTCTCATCAAGTCCTCTAAGCGGCGATAAAATTTCCTTGTTCCTCGATCACCGGCACTAAAGCTGTGTCCGTAACAGCGTTTAATAATTCAAATGGCGCGTTCATCATGGCTCAAAGCTCTCGAAGCCATAAATAAGTGTTAGAGGCTCTTCTTCGAAAGGGGAGCAAATGCCGGCGGTTGCACAGAGGTGCATGAGTCACACGTTAGCGAGCTAGACAACGATTTCGCGGAAAGTTTACACCGCCAGCGATTTTCAAGGTTATTTATGGGAAGATGCTAGAGGGGTGGAAAACTGCCATAAAAAACGACGGTGTAATAGAATTTTCTATTGGAGTGTAGAGGGTGTTTCTTAATAATATGCTAATATTTGAGGAGGTTTCTTTAAGTGCATTTTTTATTTGATCGTTCGTTTTTCCACCGGTTAAGGTCCCGAAATGTTTCGATACGAACCGATAAAATGATGAATAAATTGGGGGCCTGGCCACCAAAACAGAAATTCATACGTTTAGTTTTATTTATTTTATTTATTTTATAATATCGTGTTATGAAAAGTGCAGTGCAGTGCAAATTACAATAGTTGGATATGAAAATGGTAATTGTATGAACATTTGGGAGACGTGGTGAAGGTTGCGAAGGAATTAGAGAAGATGTCAATTTCTATTGATTTGGATATAGAGTTGTAGGATTGACAATACCTATTTAGGGGAGAATTCAAATAGTAACACAACGCAACAAAAAAATATTTTTTGAATATTTCCTACACTAAATTAGTCAATTTCTACTAATTTTGGGGTGATAAAAACGAAAATAACAATGAAAAATTTTATGAACAATGATGTTCATTGTCGTACTGACATTTTTTGACGTTTTTATAGACAAAAAATAACTTAACAAACCTTATCTGGTTGTTAAAATTGCCATATGGTAGATAAAGAAGAATATTATTGTGTTTGTCTTCAGGAAATTACTTAATGTTCCGCCATTTTGTAGTGGGTGAAGATATTGACTTCATATTCTAGGGTTATGAAGTATTCGTCAGGAGCTTCAAAATGATGTGTCACGAGACCCCCTTTCCATTTAATTTTTGTCCAGATGGGGCCCAGTCGCCATCTTGAAAGTTTCATCTATCAAAAAATAACTCAAAAAACCTTATCTGGTTGTTAAAATTGCCATATGGCAGATAAAGAAGAATATACCAAGAAATAGCGATATTATTGTGTTTATCTTCAGGAAATTATGAAATGTTCCGCCATTTTGTAGTAGATAAATGTATTGACTTCATATTCTAGGGTTGTGAAGTATTCGTTAAGAGCTTCAAAATGATGTATCACAAGACCCCCTTTCCATTTAATTTTTTTCTCAGATGGCGACCAGTCGCCATCTTAGAAGTTTCATCTGTCAAAAAATAACTCAACAGATCTTATCGGTTTGTTGAAATTGCCATATGGCAGATAAAGAAAAATATTTTTAGAAACAGCGATATTATTGTGTTTGTCTTCAGGAAATTATTAAATGTTCCGCCATTTTGTAGTAGGTGGAGATATTGACTTCATATTCTAGGGTTGTGAAGTATTTGTCAGGAGCTTTAAAATGATGTGTCACAAGACCCCCTTTCCATTTAATTTTTTTTTTCAGATGGCGCCCAGTCGCCATCTTGAAAGTTTCATTTGTCAATTTCACTTAAAGTATTCATGCATTAATTTCATTATCCCAAATTTGGAAAAATTAAATTGGGGGACATTAAAGAATTGCACTGTCTATATAGTTTCTCTCATTTCTACAATATGCTATGTACTACTCACTCAATCTGAGGTAGAGGATATACTGCATCGAAGCCCTTTTTCCTGTGTCGAGAATGCTTCCACGCATGGCCACTGCGCAGACGCAGATTTCGATGGCCATAGACAGAATCAAAATAGCCAAGTAGCCTACGATGAGGACCCACACCAGCAGAACGCATTGGACGCTGCGGTCGTACTCCACTAGAAAAAGGATCGTCCCCAGGACTATGGTCCTGAAACAAAAAAATAATCATTGATTTTTCTCTACTGGTAACAGTTTTTTTTTATAGATAGATAGATAGATAACTTTATTAACTACGTAAATACAATGTATATTTTGCAGCAGGTCCAAAAAGAATATATATACATATACACATAACTAGTACTCCTACTATTTCAGGTATTACTTCAACTACGCGTATCGCTGACAGGTGTATCCATATACTCACGAATTGAATAGAACCCATTTTCTGAAAGAAATCTTTTTAATTTTTTTTTTCAAGCAAATCATATCTAGAATCTCCCAACTGGATGGTAATTTATTGTAGAGAGCAACATTTAGAGAATTATTAGCAGATTCATTTAATGTAAATCTTTGTAGTCTGAGATGCCCAGCACCGCGGGTGTTATATTCATGAAAGTTTGAATTTATACTTGTTTATTCTTTCAACTGTGAATTTCTAGTACTTGGTGGAAAATTTGAAGAGCAGGTAGTGTCATGACTTTGAATTTCTGGAATAACGGTTTACAATAATCTCTGAACGCAACATTAGCAATAATTCGGATGGCTTTTTTTCTTCAAGCCTAAATACTTTGACAGAGTCGGATGCATTACCTCATAAAATTACCCCATAGGAAATATGAAAAAGCTGTATTCCAAAAATAATTCAAATATGTTGATGAAGAGTCAGAGCTTAACACATGGCATATACAGTTTCACGATGCTAAAATTCAGTGATGGGATTCCCATGCCTATTTACACTCAGGCCTGTTGACGTATGAACTGATACGTCAAGAAGGGTACTTCTTACACGCCACTGAAGATGACTGCCACAGTTGCAGTCGAAACGTTTGCAAATTGTAACCAGAGAAGATAACGGCCACTAACCAAAACACAACACAATCTATAGCAAACACATTTTTGTTTAAATTAAAAGGGTTATATTTTTAGGAGTGACTAATTTCTGGGAAAGTAAGTTTTTGGCATATAGACACGAAAAAAAAAAATCATTCGAAACAAATACTTTTATATGAACTCTGAATTATACAGAAGGTACTTTTCTCTACTCAGTTTGTATACCAAACATTCGTTATGTAATTAAATCAGATATCATTCACAGGATTTCTACACAATATACTAAATGAAAAATTTCATTTACATGGAACACTGTCATCCTCACTGGTAGACATCGATGTTTCGCCCAAAGACACTTGCCTTAGGGCTCTTCAGTTTCCTTACCTAGAAACTCTGTATGTCATGAAATTACCAAGGGTTTATTTCCCACAATTCAACAATTTGACTAATCCCAGTAATGTAAATTAGGCAAATTAATCACCCGTGCAATCACTATTTTCAATCTCACTCTACACGTTTCTGATCATTCCATGTCGAAATCAAACGGGTGAATCAAATTTCTACATCCTTTTGAGTGATCCACCCCAGATTGCATTATATTATGTAACAACACGAGTAACATTTTCTCAATAACCGAAATCCTCTTCTGTATCGGAGGGATTCTCGCACCCTCCTTGAATTCTCAAGCAATATTCGAGTGTTTAAGAGCGAAAGCCCATCTGGGAAAGCACAAATCAAGTTTGGAGAGGAATTGGAATTGAAGTGAGACTTCGTACAGAACAGGCTTGGCCAAAAAATTCAGCTACGATTCTAGTTTATTCATATTGTTCATTTAGTTGTTGTGATCTATACTGAGGTGATCGAGGTGAGTTTATGTTGACGAATTAAATATGTTATATTGGAATGTCACGGACTGACTGTTTTAGCCATCTCCTGATGAAGCTGATTTGTTCAGCCAAACGCGTATCAAGAGACAGCATTTTCGTTCTGCTGAACGAGAAGGAACTAGGCATCATCTTCAACGAAATGGCTACTCCAAAGCGATGTTGGAACATACTTTGGCTGAAAGATAGCGGGAGCCCCGAAAAGAAGAGAAGACGTCACAACCAGTGCTTGCACTTCCCTACATCAGAGGATTATCGGAAAAGATACGAAGAATTGGATCCAAGTACAACATCACAACCTGCTTCAGATCCGGAAACACTATCCGTAGCAGCCTCACGAAAACCAGGCCACCAATCGAGAACTGCGACTCCAAGAATTGCATTTACCGGATACCCTGCGAGTGCAGAAAATCCTATATCGGTGAAACTAAGAGGCTATTGAAGGTTCGCATTGCTGAGCACAAGAAACACACATAGCGAGGGGAAACCAGCAAATCAGGAATAGCAGAGCATGTTTGAACCCATCAACAAAATATCGAATGGTCCTAAGCTGAGATCATACACAAAGAGGAACATTGGCTTAGGAGGAAATTCAAAGAAGCCGCATACATGTTATCCAACAATGTATTCAACCAAGCTAGCGGAGAGATACGAAACATATGGAAACCCATAGTCAAGCGAGGAATGGCCAACTCCCGCCAAACGGTCATCTCCCACTAAACCAGTGATGCGGAAAAGGAAAGCAGAGATAAGTGAAAGTACTCAAATGACCTAGAAATTGTCAGCTCACGAAGAAATCGGTCCAGTCATCACCCGAAGATGATTGTGGATACTAACAATCGAAACATCGTGAATTAACTTGGCTTGGAATTTTTATTTTATTTATTTTTTGTTCAATTTGTTTCATTTTTACTTGAGAGTAATAAATGTTACCTATAAAGAAATTCGAAAAACTAATACAACCGTCAACGACGTCTGCCCGCATTCGGGTCGCGTTCTCGGCGATTGCGCTTCATTGCTTAGACCGCCCCTCTATCGTGATAACTTTCAAACGAGTCGTCCAAATTACTTAGTGTAAAAGACAAAGTTTATCTACATTAAATACTGAAAACGACAATTCTATCAATTTTTATGAGAATCTGTCAGATATTCTAAAATGTGCATTGTGAACAAAGTATCCAATTTAATTGTATTAATGGCACAGTATTTTGCATATAGTGGCTACCACATAGGAGGTAGATATATGCTATCGCGGACTTTTATTTAGGACTGACTATCTAAGATGAACAATCTTACGGTACATTATCTGCATTTAATTTCAACAGTACAGGCAGCGCACGCTAAGATAATTCCCAGACAGCAAGAATTTTTCCGACCTACTCAATATTTATCGTTATATTATGACGAAAATCACACAAAACCTTTATAAATTGTAGCCTTCATGTTATTCTAATGTATAAGCTGTATTTATGTGAAGTTTCATCTAAATCCGTTCAGTCGATTAGGCGTGAAAGAGCCACAAACATACATACATAAATTTATCCATCCTTACAAACTTTCATATTCATAATATTGATATAGATAGATTTGTGTGGGAGGCCAAAAATTCAAGCTTTTAAAATTTCTTGATATCCCGTGGATTGGGCTACCTATCGGGCGCGTCCCCAGGTGGCGGATAGGGGAACGGCCAGGGGACTGGAAGCCCTGTCCGGGAAGCTGATGTGGCCTTACGGACGGGGTCGCCGGACTCCTGGTCGGTGGTAGGAATAAGTAGGGTGAGGGGAACTAAAACTCTCCAAAAACCTTTGCAAAACATGCCACCGTGGACTAGCCTACCCAAGCTGAGGTGTAAGGAATCGTGCCGACAGTGCGAACAACGAAAACAAAAACCAATCCCGAGGCTGGACAGAAGTGCTCACCTCAATCTAAGGCGGTGGCTGAGGGTGAATAGAAATGTCCACCCCAATCTACCGTTTGGAATGAGGCTGAACATAGCAGATCACCTCCCCTACTCCACCTTCAACACCAAAGGCACTTCAGCGGCGATCGCCGAGAGCTCCGCCTTGAATAAAGGCAAGGAACCGGCTGCCCCTGCAGAAAAGCTTCCTCACTTGTGCACCTTCACGGAGGGAATCCCAAGAAGGTTGAAGAAGCCGCGCAACGACAGTAATGTCACTTCACCTTCTAAAACCTTCGCGGAGGCCACCGTGAGACACCTCAAGGTTGCCAAAGAGAGTGTGTGTTCGGCGAGTCTTGGCCTACACATGTCAATATAAAGGAGATGTCCTAGTGATCTGTTCACCTTCCTGGAAAGGGCAGGATGGACGATGACGTAGGAGGACAACTCCTCGGGAGGATGTACAATGGGTCACATGTGGCCTGAGTGCTGTGAGTCTACACTCTCCCTCCCTACTCTTCAGATACAGATTTCTTGATATGAACATTTTCTTTGAAGATGAAATGGATTATATGAAAAGTGTTCATTATCTACAATTCAGCCAGAGGACGAGGCTGAGAGAGGATACAGTCTATATCTCTTTCGAAATATGTGGTCTTTATCGTTTTCTGAGTGCTAGTAATATATGGAACGTTAACATTAACAGAAAATTAATAAAATGTTTTGAAAAGTTCAGGACTTGATTTTATAACAGGTAAAACAACGATAGAAATGAAAACAACAATAAAAATTAATTGGCGCTCCGTGGCGACTTCATTCCAGCTGCATTCCAGCTGCTTTTTCAGCTGCAGGAAAACTCGGAAAAACCTGCAGCACCACATCATCTGAAGATCTTGTTCTACCAATGTCCTCTCTCTCATAAAACAAAATGTAGGGTGTCTCCAGAGGCTCCAAAAGGTTCAATACATCGCCAGAACACTTCGTGATACAACTATCGTCGAACTTAAACCAGTCCGTTTCGTCTTTAACTAAGGCGTAATAATGACCAAATTCAACGCCAGAACCACAGTGAACAATGACTGCATGAATATTATAATAGTGGTCTGCTAGATTGAAATGTTCATCTATTTCAAACCTTCCAAAGAGTTTCTTGCTTCCGTCAGAGGTTGAGTGTTGTTTGAAGATCATCAGTGTTATTATTAGATTGACTGGTGCCTAAAATTCAAATTAAATATAAGTCTAAGGATTCTTTTCTGACCCACAAAAACTCTATTTAAGTCTCTTGCTCTTCCCCAAGCCATGATATTTGAACTAAGTCTAGAGTGAACCATTGCGTAGTAGATATTTAGTAAGCCTGCTTTATCTAAACTGGGCTTC